AAATGCTGTGGGGTGGGAAGAATCAATCAAAACGCATCCAAAACTGGTGACAGTCCCACAGAAATCAGTCGCTGAGCATCAAGGTGTGTTAATTGCTTACGAAAGAGAGCACGAGAAACTCTGAACCCCTATGCCCTGAACCCCGAACCCTGATTGATGGCAGATCTAATCATATCCGTCAGACAATTGCCGGATTCCCTACGAAACGGTGGCTGGAGGTTGCCCTACTCCTATGCAAATCACTGGTAAGATTCCTGCCCAGGAAACGAGAAACGAGAAACTTTCAAGGCAAATAAACAAAAGTCAGACCAGAAAACTTTTCCCCCTAGTTTGTGTGGAGTCGGGCATAAAATTGAAATGCAAATTAAAGCAAACGTAACCGGAACGACGGCAGATGGTCACTCACATATGCAGGCACACCTGAACCACAACCTCAACAGTTTTGGCTCATGATTTGATGGAAAAACTATTTGAATAACCGCAAAAGATTCACCCTTAGGGACAGGCAAAGGGCTGAACGGCAAGCCACAAAGTGAACAGGCCACAGACATCAAAGGGATTTCGCGGTTTGGATTTCGCTTAGTTGGTAGCTTCACTCACTGCCATCGCTGTGGGCCACGCCCTCGCGTAGTAGGAAGTAGCGCAGTCCCTCCATGGTATACTGCTGGGCGGCCTGCACGGGATCCACCACATTGTGCTTGCTCTTGGACATCTTCTGCCCGTCGACGGTCCAGTGAGAGTGTACGTAAATCTGCTGCGGCGGCTGTAGGCCAACGGCCAGCAGGAATGCGGGCCAATAAATGCCATGGAACTTGAGTATGTCCTTGCCAATGACCTGCTGCGCAGGCGGCCAGTGTTCCAGGAACTTCCATAAGCAAGGAAACATTTAATTTGCGGATGAGAACAGGCTAGAATTTTTGGGTTTACCTTCTCATTGGGATATCCTAGGGAGCTTAGGTAGTTGACCAGCGCATCCAGCCACACATACACCGTTTGTGTGTCGTCCCCCGGCACGGGTATGGCCCAGTGGACGCGGTTTGAGGGCCGTGACACGGACACATCCGGCAGCGGTTCGCTGAGCGTGTCCAACAAAATCTTCTCGAACTTGGCCGGACGTATGCGCGCCTCCTGCTTAACCCAGTGCCGCACATCGTCCTGGAACTGCGACAGGCGGAACATGTAGTTGGTCTCCTCCGTCCACTCCACGGGGTGGCCCGACTCTAGCGAGTAGCGGGTGCCACTGGCCTCGTCCAGTCGCAGTTGTGAGTCGGTGAGGAACACCTCATCGGACACACAGTACCAGCCGCTGTAGGCAGCCGAGTAGATGTGTCCGCGCGAGTGCAGCGTGCGCTGTGGAAGCAGAAATCATCTAAACATGAACAATTTCAAAGGAATCTCCAATCTCCTACCCAGAACTGAGCCACCGCCTGCTTGTGTCGCTCCTCTGTGGTGCGAATGAAGTCGTCATTCTGTATGTGCGCCGCCTGGAAGACCTCTCGATAGCGTGACGATATCTGTTGGCAATACTGATCGACGGGCACATTGTGGCTGGCCGCCGCCTGCTGGATCTTCGTCCCATGCTCGTCGGTGCCCGTGCACAGACGCACATCAGTGGCAGGATGTCGTAGCTTCTGGTAGCGACAATGTGCATCCGCTATTACCGCCGAGTACAGGTGGCCAATGTGTGGTGCTGAAATGGAGTGCGAGAGGGGAAAACTTTAGTTTCTGGCGCGGGAGCAACAAAATCGCTGAACTAACTCACCAGCGTTTACATAGAAAATTGGCGTCGTCACATAATGCGAGCTGCTGTAGCGTGCACCCAGACATTTAAGTAGCTTAATTCTACGTATTAGCATTTTCTCGCATTACTTTTGATATAGAAATTCAACAAAATCACGAAAACAATACAAATTGCCGGCAATGCTTTCATAACAATTAACAGCTGTTTGGTCTCATTTGGCGCCTTACAGCACTGACCTTCACAAACATACCGTAAATATACCGAATCCAAAAACCATATTAACAGATTATGATATTATATTTCATATTAACAGCTAGTTAGAATTTACAGCTCAAAAACCATAATTATATCCCATTAACGAATATATTCTCCATAAGGTTGGCTAGTTTTTATGACTAACTTTTGTTGAATTCGGAAACGTTGTGTAAAAAACGAAAGTGAGAATGGAATGTAAGGTCATTGCTGCGATGAAAATTGCCTACGGGCAATTTGCCCGTTTTACAGCACAGACTTCGCATAGATCTCAGGGCTGAACAGAACACCATCAAATTACAATTCAAATTTGAATTTTAACTTTGATCAATTTAAATAATAAACAAAACAAAAACTAAGAAATAATATAAATGACTGACCCACGGTAGCCCCACCGTCCTACAGCTTGGACCCTCCTCGCAGGTACTTTCCTGGCTCTCCGAACATCCACTGACGGTAGACGGCCAAGCGGCGATTCCGTTGGGCCTTCTTTTTGGCATCGACGGCGGCACAGGCCGCTTTGTAGGCCGCCTGCTTGGTTTTGTCAAAGTCCGCCTTGGCGTCGGCCATCTGCTTGCCGAGACTCTGCACCCGGTTCTTGGCCGCCTCCAGTAGTTGCGTCTTCTCCGACAGCTCCGTCTGTGCGCCCTGGGACACGCCCTCGATGTTGGCCAGATTCGTAGTGGCCGCCTGCAGCAGTAGCTTCATCTGCTGTAGCTGTGTCTGCGAGTCGCTGGCCGCTGCCGCTGCGGCGTTCGTGTTGATTTGCGTGTTCTGTAGCGAGGCTGTGACTTCAGTGACGACGGCCTCCGCCTCAGCCATCTCCTGCGCCAGCTGCTCGACCATCTGCTGCTTGCCCGCGAGTGCTGCCTCCGCTGCACGTGCCGACTGTGCCGCCCTCTCGGCCAGCTCTGTTTTGACTTGTGTGGCCGCTGCCTCGGCTGCCGCCATTTGGGAGTCGCTGGCCGCCTTTGCATCCTGCGCGGCCTTCTGGGCTATGTTGGTGGCCTTGGACTTGGGATTGCCTTTGTTAAAGTTGCCGCATGGTTTCGACTTTGCCTCGCCGCATGCCGCCTCGCCGGTACCCTCCCCTCCCTCCATCTTCAGCTGGGAGAGGAACGGACTGGTGTCCCATTCATCCAGCTGGTAGATGCACTCCAGTCCGGCGAATCCAAGCAGCAGCACAAGATATGTTAGCAAGACTTTGTTGTAATTCATTTTTCAATATAATTCAGAGCCGAGGCCAGTGACTGCGTTCTGTTAACATTCAAGGGCAAGGCTGCTTTGATGTTTGTTGATGTTCAAATCCGATTCGAAATTATTCCAGTGTTGTTAAGATGTTTTTCAGCAAAGAATTTAAATTTGAACCGCGATTAGCCTGTGTCCGATATGCAAACGTTATCGATGTTCGGTGAAATGCTTGCACTGCTTGCCGCCAAAAAGCGATTTCGAGCACTTAAAATATATTTAAATTTAAATATTAATGATCGGGATATTCTGATAAATTGGTCTTACCCAGAATTCCTTTAGTGGCGATATGGTTACCTTTTCGCTTGGCCTTCTGGGGAAGCCCTAGGTGAAAGATCGTTTCAGATTGACTTGAGATTGTCGCACGGAAACCTTTGTTAACTACTGAATGGCACGGAGCTTGCCATGTGTTTTGACTTTGTTTATTTAACATTCATCTGACAGTTGATTGTGTCAAAAAAAATGCTCGAAAATGCGTATAGAATTAATAATATTCTCGCTGCTCATTGCATTCATCTGTCTGACAGCAGAGGCCCCGGGCTACTCCGGCAACTCGCGTTTCCCGAAACGCAGCAAGCGGTTGCTGCCCTACGGTGGTGGTTCAACGGATGACTCTAGAGGCGGCGACGGGGGAAATGGTTGCAATCATGACAGCCAGAACGGGGACAACCAGCAGCAGGACCAGGAGCACCAGCAGGCACCAAGGCCGCGCAAGCAGAAGAATAGCAACGCCAAGCAACGGGCCTCGGGCATAGCCGTGCAAGCAGCCAAGGAGGCGAAGAAGGCAAACGACGACATGGCCTCGGCGGTGAAGGTGGCTTCGGACAAGATCAAGAACGAGTACGCGGACAAGGCGATGACGGCAGCGAAGGCGGCGGAGGCAGTGCTCGCCGGCAAGGGTCAGATGCTGGAACAGCTCGAGGCGGAGGTGCGCGAGGCCGAGGTGGTGGTGCAGGAAGAGTCCCAGGAGTTCCTCACGGCGGAAGCCAATGCCCAGCTGGCCTCGAAGCAGTTCCAGCAGGCGCAGGCGGAGCTGAAGATGCTGCTGGCCACGCTCAAGGTTGCCAGGGAGAGCAAGGAAAGCGCCGAACAGATGAATTCGGTCTGGCAGCAGTCTCTGACCGAGAAAACCGCTCTCCTGGAGGCGGCTCAGAACCGGGTGGCCGTTCTGCTACGCCAGCTGCGGGATGCACGCAGCGACCACAACAAGACCAAGAAGGCGGCCCTCAAGGCTCTGTGTGCCGCCAAGGAGGCCAAGCAGCGCATCGAACAAGTCGAAGCCGTTCGACTTTAATCGTTCATTTTCGTTCATATATTTTGTATTTTTATTAAAGAAGATTTATTGTGTGTGTTGAATTTTAATCTGTAGTTTATTAAACTTTTTTCTTTAGGGAATAAAAATATAAAATTCCTCGACAGCGTGCAAAAAGTGCGCGCGCGTCTTGAATGGCTGCCAAAAATGCTATGGAACTTTTGCCTGTCCGCCGACGACTTCTCAACTTCCTTGCTCATTGATCGATCCAAAATCCAATCCGTTCGTTCGTTCGATTCGCCTTAACAAGATTATACAATATAAATATAAATATATATATATATATATATATCTATATATATATGCGCGACAAATACCAGAGCGGACTAATGCTATAAAAAAACCTAATTAGAATATAAAGGGGAAGGCTCCTCTCTCTTACAATTTAAAAAAAATTTCGAACAAGCCACAAAGACAAATAAACAATTTACAATAATTCGGATTTTAGCATGCACAAAAAAATATGTATAAGAGTAGCATAGCATTAAATATACAATATAAATGAATAAATATACAATTTAAAATTACAATTAAAAATGTTTGTCTGTCTGTTTTGGGGTTCTTTCGAATAATTTCAAGGGGGTGATGCTTGGTTTCTATATGCTACATAATACATATTATGCATGTAGTTAGATCTCCCTATATCGAGTGAAGCGGTATAGTATAGTATTGACAATTGTTAACAAAACATAAATATACGCAGAGGGGCTTCTACATAAAATAGTTTGCTTTGCTTTGCTTCCATCAGCTTCAACTCCAGCTCCACTCCAGCTTCAATCATAAATCTGGTTATACATTTTTTTTGTATATTTTGTTTGCTTAATGTTTAGGTTTAATTCTTAGCTCTATAGATGTAGATATATATTTATAATTTTTATAATTCGTATGTGATTTATATGTACAATTTAACACAAAGCCCCTGTAAGTAAACGTCCCACAATTGTCATCTAATTTCACGAGCTGCATTCTCCCACAAACCCCACCCACCCCCCATGCAACTACTCTACATATGTATATCCTATGTGTATGTGTGTGTGTGTGTGTTTTCTGTTAGAATCTGTGTGGGTGGAGAGCCCTTGTATTAGTACTATTTAGTTTTATATCTAATTTATATTATTCCTTTCCCCTGAATACTGACATCATCGAGTTTCTATATGTTCTTGTTTGTGGGGATTGCGGATATTATTATTGTTGTATCGTATGTTGCATTCGTTGCTGCTTAATTTGTGTATGTGTATGCGTGTGTGTGTGTGTGTGTGTGTATAGTTATAGATTATATATAGGATATATAATAATATCAACTGTTTAACTCTTATAATTTACTTAAGACTTTTTCATTGGGGGGGGGAGTTGTGGGTTGGGGATTGTTTGTTTGTTTGTTTGTTGTATAAAACGAAAAGTATATCACGATAGATCAAACATAGATCGCAAATAACCGTTAACTACAAGTGTTTTCATGTTTCATGTTCCGTTGTCTCCGATACTGAGTATATTTTATGTGTGTTTATATATTTTTGGGTGGCCCATCGATGGACCCCTAATTTAAGTACTTGCGACATCGCTTGGAGCCACAAGAGCAGGGTATTTTCTCATCCTCAAATGGGAACTTGTAATCGTATGTCAGCTCCTCACCCTGCACAATGCGACGCAGCGCAAAGATAATGATGTGCTTATGCCCCAGTATATCGACGACCTTTGAGTAGCAATTCGGCTGCAAAAATTACAATATAAATTAATAGCCATAAACCCAGGAGAAAATGCCAATCAAAAGTACTCACCTCACAGGAGTGATTGATAAAACGCGCCGCATTGCCACGCATGGTGGCATCCACCACTAGGTTGTCATCGATCTTGAACATGTAGCAACCGATGCCGCGACTATCGTAGTAGCGCTCCCGCTTGTCCGTCAGCGTGGAGCGTATCAGCTCGCCAGCGTACTCAATGACCATTTCACCTGCAAAACAAAATATTGGCATTTGAGGAGTTTGTACACCTGTCAAAGAGACTTTTACTTACCCGCTTCAATGTCCTTCGTGCAGTAGAGACCACGTCCATGGATATGTGAACGGAATACGCCCACATAATCCTTGTAGGTCTCCTTCAAAGTCCGGTACTTCATGGCCATGGGTAGATTGCTGCCCGTTCCTCTTCTACAAAAGCAATTTTACATCCAATATTAGTAAGAATTCACAGGGGCAGATCGTTCATCCACTCACCTTGGCACCAGCTCGTTATCCGAGGGCTGCACAAACACCTGAATGGGCTGCTTGCGATGACGGGATGCCAGCCAGCTGAACATGTCGTATTCGGATCGACTCGTGTACGGCTCACAGCGCGCACAATCGTAGGCATTCTCCTGCAACTCATCCTGATCCGAGGCATAGTCCAGCAACGCTTGAGCATCCCCAACAGCGGCGGCCAGCGCTGCTGCACTGCAGAGACTTCCTGTGACAGCGTGTCCACCGACACTTGCCGCCGTCGACACATTTCCGTTGCGCTTGTGGTACTTGGGCGTGTACTTGGAGCACTTCTCCACACCCGGCAGCTGCTCGATGAGGTACTTGAGGGCATTCGTCTTCAGACCAATCATCTGGATGCCGCCCATATCGGCCAGCGGTCCCTCGGGCAGCGGCGTGAGACCGTGTGCCCGCCTGGCCACCTGCACCGCCTCGAAGACCTTCTCCCAGATCTCGGCTATGGAGCTGGACTTGTACGTGAAGCCGTCCTCGCTCTGGATCTCGTACAGCAAATGTGGTCCGCTGATCTTTTTCGGCTCGCGTATCGGTGGTGGGGGTTCTGGAGCCGCTGCTGAAGGCACCTCCATGGCCACGGAAGAGGCTGCTTTCTCCTCCTCCTCCTCCTGCTGTTGTTGCTGCTGCTGTTTTGAGGACGTCTCCTGCCGTAGCTGCTCCTGGTGCTGCTGCTGTTGCTGATGCTTCTTGAGCTCCAGTTCGACGCCATTTTGCAGCTCCTTCAGCTCGAGGACATGGGCTTCGGCCATTTCATTGATGTAGCTGGCGGCTGCCTCCACGGCTGCCGTTTCCTCGGCCGTTGCCTCAAAGGCAGATGACGAGGCGGCGGCAGTGGTGGCCAGTACATCCTCTACCATCTGCTGATAGCCGGCCGCTGTGGCCTCCACCTCCACTGTCGTGGCGGTGGCTATCGAATCGGCACAGTCGTCGTTCGTGAGGTTGTCCAGAATCTTGCTGATCTTCTCCTTAACCGCCGGCTCCTCGCTGTCGGACATTTCGTGATCGTTGCATGCGGATGTTGCCATCTTCAGGCTAAAGTCATCATCCTCGTCATCATCCTCATCGAGTTCCTCATCGTCGTAGGGATTCTCCGTGTCCATGGGCACCACCGAAGCCTCCTGGTAGCCGCGATGCTTCTCCAGCAGATAGCCATTGCTCACCATCTGATGATCCATTTGGTGCTGGTGCTGCTGTTGCTGCTGCTGCTGGATGAGCAGCACCTCGCTCTTCACGTCCGGCTGCTGCTTCTCGTACAGTCCCTCCATGTAGATGGACTCTGTGGGCTGCTGCTCCTCTTCCTCCTCCTCGTCGTCACCCTCCTCCTCCATTATGGTGGCCATTGAGGTCAGAGCGATGCTCTCCATGACAGTGGCTGCCTTGAGCTCTGCCTCGTACACAGGCGACGGTAAGGGTGATGGCGAGGCTGACGCTTTCTGAGCATAACACTTGGAGACGCTGCCACTGGAGATCTGCAGACTCACCTGCTGTTCCACGAGGGGTTTCGGCGGCGTAGGCGATGACACCACTGGCTCATTCGGCAGCGGCGCTGGCTCCTGCCGCTGCTGCATAGGCAACACGCGGTTTGTGGGTCGACAGTTGATGCTGGTCGTCGTGCTGGTGGTGCTCGTGCTCGTCATTGTGATGCTGGTGCAGGGCGTTGCCTGCAGCTGCAAAGGATTCACCACATTGGTGGGCAGCGAACTGCTGCCAGCAAAGTGCTGCAATCGATTGATCATCTCCGGCTGCTGCTGCTGCTGTTGCTCGAGCACTTGGGTGTCCATCACAAATTGCGCGGACATTGTTGCTGGCGCCTCGGCAATGGTGATGATGGGCAACGCTGGCTGTGATTGCTGCGGCAGCTGCTGGATGATTATCTGCTGCTGCTGCTGCTGCTGTGGCTGCTGTATCAGATGTTGCTGCTGCTGCTGTGGTTGCTGCTGCTGTTGCATCAGCTGTGGCTGCTGTTGTTGCCGCTGATGCTGCTGCTGATGCGGCTGCTGTTGTATGATTGTTACCTTGGCGGGCACTTGGCTAAGCACAGGCGGTTGCTGCACCTGTGGATGTTGCTGCACCTGTGGATGTTGCTGCTGCTGCTGCTGCTGTTGCATGACAGGGATCGATTGTTGCTGCTGCTGCTGCTGTTGCTTGGGCGTTGGCTTCATCAGCTTTGGCTTCACCTCCAGCTTGTGGATGGGTCGTATCAGATTCGTTTTCTTCTGCAGCGGCTTTGAGGCAATGCTGGGCGGCGCTCCGCACGTGGATCCCGCCGTGGCCTTGCTCTTAATCTGCCCCTGAGTTCCTGCGCCCTGTTGCTGCTGCTTGCCTGCTGCTGCCGCCGCTGCTTGCTTCAGTTGCTGCTGATGCTGTGCCTGCTGTGTGGCTATGCTGGTGGGCAGCACCTTGTTCACGACCTGCGGCTGTGGCGGCACCTTGCCCACTCCCCCACCGTTGGACATGTTGTTGGCCTTTGAATTCGTCGCTCGCTTCACCTGCGTAACGGGTGGAATCTTCGCGGTGACCACCAGTGGCGCAGAGGAGTAATCCGTAGACGCGGATGAGTGAGGCACAGTCTGGAACTGAAAGTTGGCATTCTGCAGCAGCTCCTCCTGGCTCTGCTGCTGTTGCTGCTGGATCACACTGGCGGCATTGAGGAATGTGGCACCCGAACCACTGCCATCTGCCGCATTGTTGAGCACCACATAGCCAGCGGGCAGATCCACAATCGGTTCGATTTTGCTCGCCTGGAACACCTGCGTTGTGGTGGCCGAGAAGCTGGCATTCTGGCTGAGTACACCAGGCATGGCCGTGGACACAAATTGCTGCGAGGACATCACCGTGTTCTGGACAATCGTCTCGAGGCCGTAGTACATGGGCTGCGTGGCCAGTATGACCTGCGGTCCGCCAGTGGCAAACTCCAGTCCCGTCGCACCGCCGCCAGTCGCTCCCCCAAGGATAAGTGGCTGCTGCACATTCGATCCATTCTGAATGCCATTCGATGGATCTCCGCCCGCCGATGTTGTGGCCAGTTGCAGCGTCTGCGGCTGGATGAGCGTTCCAATCACCTGCGGCTGCGCCTGCAGCATCTGCAGACCCGAGTTGGAGGGCGCTGTTGTTAGCACGAGGTTTCCGCTAGCATCTGTCTGCAGGTAGGTGGTGGTGGCCCCGCCACCCGGTGCTGCAGTCAGGAATGTGGGCGCCGCCTGTTGCTGGGGCTTAAAGTCGTTCGTCGTCGGTATCGAGATGTACTGAAGTGGCTGGCCCTGGCTGCCGTCGCCCGTCACAAAGGAGATTATGTTCTGCGGCTGTGTGTGCTGCGGGAGGATCAGCTGCGGATGCTGCTGCTGGGCATTGCTCTGGAAGAGCAGCTGCGGCTGCAGCATGCCCTGCCCCAGCAGCTGTCCGTTGCTGGAAACTGTAATCCCTGGATGATGCTGCTGCTGCTGCTGATGGTGCACTTGGTGGTGCTGTTGCTGCGGTTGTGGCTGTAACTTGGCCTGAATGGGCTTCACCTGGTGATGGCCACCGCCGGACTTGAGTTGCTTCTGCTTGGCCGCAGCCGTCGCCTGCTGGCCGGCCTTGGTGGCCACAGTTTTGAGCGGTTTGCCCGCACCATTCAGCGGCAGAACAATCTTCTTGTCCGAGTTGGTGGCCTGCAGCGTCTGGTAGGTCGCAGCCGGCGCCGTTGTCGCTTGCGGCAGCTGAATGAACTGCTGTGTGCCATCCGGATTGGTGGACACCGCAATGAGTTGTGGCTGCTGCTGTGTCGTCACTTGGGGCTGCGACAGCGTGAATCCGCCGCCCAGATTGGCGGCCAGATTCTGCAGGGAGTTGGCATAGATCTGCAGCTCGTCCGTTCCGTTGCTCGTCGCCTGGTGGTTCGTCGGCTGCGACGACAGGAAGAAGCCGTTGCCCAGCGACTGCGGCTGCAGCTGAACCTGCTGCAATCCCTGTAGCCCGAACTGGCTCAAGGATCCCAGACTCTGCACCTGCGGGAAGGATGTCGTCTGTAGGTAATTGAATCCGCCCAAATTTCCGAGCGTGGCACCGGCCAGGGCCTGCTTCTGCAGCTCGTTGAGGCTCTCGGCGCTTAGCTGCTGGGCGTGGGCATGCTCCGACTCCGATTCGCTGGCGGACATCTGCTCGCAGTTGTGCAAATGCCGCTGGAAGGAGTCGTAGTTGCGGTACGTGCACTGGCACCGATCGCACTTCACCTGCCCCGTAAACTGCGCCGTCGACAGGTTTCCATCGCCGCCGATTATACGGAATTCCGTAATGGAATCGTCCACGCCGTCCATCTGCATGATGCGCATCTTTGCGGGCTCCTCCCTGCTGCCGCCGGCCTCCTGGCCGCCAGACTTTTCAAAGTAACGCTTGGCCGCGCTCCATGTGAAGCTCTTGCTGCGCATCGTCGATGTGGAGGCCTCCTCGCTGATCGACTGGCGACGTGAGACACCCGCCACGGTTGCCATTTCCTTCTTGGAACGCTGCTGCTGGCTCAGGCTGAGCAGCACGCCCTCGGCCAGGTTCTTGGAGAGTTTGCGCCGCTTAATGGCCGCCACACTGTTGCCGTCCAGCTTGGGCCAGGCGCGCGTCTTGAGCACCTGCACCTGGGCGGAGCTGCGGGCGGCAGCGCAGAGCATGGCATCCTCCACGGGATTGCTGGCGGGCCAGCAGTTGCCACCGCCGCCGCCGCCGCCACCCAGACTGGTGTTCGAGTTGCGCGTGTCCTCGTCGCAGATGGGATGTGGCTGCGCTGGCGCACCCTGTGCCGCGCTGGTGCCGTCCTTAGACTGTTCGCTGATGGCAAACAGATCGGACTTGTCCGCCAGATCCTCGTACATGAAAATGTCCAGCATGGAGATGCCGTCGAGCAGCTCGTGCGGCAGATCCTCGAATATGGCATCCTTGATCTCTGGCGGCAACAAATCAGCATTCTGTTGCGGCTCCTCCTCCGTATTCTCATCCGGTGGGACACACGAATTGGGATGTGGATGGGGATACTCGCTCCAACCGTCTGCGCCGTCTGTGGCTGCCAGCAGGTCACTCCTCGAGGCCAGACTGCTGTGCCAGCGTGCGATTTGCGCCAGTCCCAGCTGCACAACTTGGCCATTGGGATTCGTGTGATCCACCGTGTAGTTGCGTCCCACATCCAGCGCCTGGAGGGTCGAAGAGCAGCTGTTCTGGATGATGGTGCGCACCGTGTACTCGACAATCTTCCAGGGTTCCTTGGAGGACCAGTAGAGGCGGCTGCACAGGAAATTGATGGGCACCACAGCCTCGTAGGAGTCGGAGAAACGCGGCACAATCGAGCCAAGCTGCCGCACCTCCAGAGATCCAATGTGGAACTGCACCTTCGACGGTTCAATCAGCTTCTTCCGCTTGCGATCCAGCTCCACATAGACGGGGCGGGAGACCTCAAAGTTGGACTCGTACGTGACGCTGGGCGAGCCATTGGCCCGGAGGGCATTGCCATTCCTCGCATGCGTCGGACAGTACATGGACTTGTCCGTGAGGAAGGCGCACTCGATGCTCCTCGCACAGGGATAGTGATAATGCTCGCCGCAGGAGCGCACATTGCAGCCAACGGTGGCGCCGCGATTACCGCAAACGGTGCACTTGATCATCCGCCCGCGGGCCACAGCACTGTGGACATTCTGCAGCGAGCCATCAATCTCCTCGAAAACCTCGGCGGACCACATGGCGCAGTTTGTGTGCACCCAACAGTCGTGGCCGCAGTACAGCAGTCGGGCCTCCTCGCCCGAGAGACCTTCACCGCTCTTGCGGCAAAACAGGCAGACGCGCGTGTCCAGGCGCATTTTGATGCCGCAACCGCTGCCGAGATCGTCCACCTCCTCGAGGGGTATGTCCAGCACACCCGAGCGCACCATCTGCGACGAGGACGAGTGCTCTGCGTACACGGAGGAGGAGGAACAGGGGCCCGTCTCCTGTTGCTGCTGCTGCATCTGCAGTTGATCCTCGTAGCGGCTCGACTCGAACATGTCCTCCTCGAGGGCATCCGTGCAGGCCTTCGTCTCGTTCTGGAACCAGGGGAACTGCTCGCACAGCAGCTCCTTGTAGGCAATGTCCAGCTCGTCGCAGTGGCTCTGCTGTATCACCTGGCTCATGTCGTAGTTGAATTCCGCCAGCGAGACGTACGCATTGCCCGCAATCTTCTGCTTGATGTCCACCAGGCTGAAGGACTGCGACAGCGGCTGCTGCTGCTGCTGCTGGCACGAGCAGGACTTTGACGAGGATGCTGATCTGCCCTTGGAGTTGTGCAGATTTATATTCCTCGACTGCTCCTTGAACTCGTAGACATCGTCGCTGTTCTGCGACTCCCCGTCGCTGCCGAGGCCATTGTCCGAGCTGCTGCTGCTAAACTGCAAAGCCTTCGGCTGCAGTTTGCCCTGCTGACCCGCCGCTCCGCACGTGCAGCGCAGCTTCTTCCTGGGACTGAGCTTGAGGAGTGCGCACGCCTGTCGCGATTTACTGAGCAGCTTCAGGACACTGTACAGACTGGCCTTGAACTCCTCCATGACCGCCTGCCGCCACTCGTCGGCCTTCAGGCGCGAATTGTCCGAGCGGCGGGCGCACTTCTTGCAAATGAACTCAATCGATTCGGGCAGCGTGCTGAGCAGATTGTACTGCTCGTCGCTGAGGCCCTCGCACTTGGAGTGCACCCACTGGTTGCAGTCGCCGCACTCCATCATCTTCAGATCAAAGTCATTGTCGTCGTAGCACTTCTGGCAGATCGGGCAGTAGTTGCCTTTTTTTCGCAGCTTAAAGCAGCCCGTGCACATGGGCAGGTTGCCCACAAATTTCGAGACTTTCGTTGTGCTGCATGACTTGCACTTCAGGCAGTTAACGCAGATGAGTGGCCTGTCCGCTCCGAGCAGCCGCTTGCTGGTGCCCAGGCATGTGCTGTGGTAATTTTTCTGGCACTTTTGGCACCTCACCTTCGAGCCCGAGGACATGTTGCAGGTGTAGCACACGGTGCAGCGCGGGCACAGCCAATTGAGGCGCTGCGTCAGCTGATTGAGCGACGAGTGGGCCGCACTCAGCGACGTCTCCAGCAGGCTGTTCATCAGCGTTGTGTCCTCGAAGGAGCTGTGCTTCAGATTGTACTCATCCTGCACGCAATACTGATGATACGGCTCACAGCAGCAGGCACAAAAGATCAGCGGATCCAGACCCGTGGATCCGCACAGGAAGCACAGCGCCCGCTGGGCCACAGTCTCCGTGACAATCAGTCCGAAGCCCGTCTGACATACCTCCGCTGGATCGTAGTTCTCCCAGAAGTCTATCGAGATGAGTGTCCGCTGCAGCTGTTGCTGCTGCTGCTGGCGTTCCTTTGTCCTTCTGCTTGATCCAACGCCAGCTGCTGGCATCACCGACGACTGTTGGCTGCTGCTGCTGTTGGTGCCGCCTGTGATGATGTCTCCGTTCCTTGGCTTCAGGCTGGAGACGGAAGAGGTTCTAGTTGTGACTTTGATGCCTCCCTTCTTAGCCTCTGTTTGAGTATTCTTGGCCTTGGTATATTCACTGGCGGGAGACGTTGCCGTTGCTGTTGCTGCTGTTGTCGCTGCTCCCGTTCCCGTTGTCGTGCAGCTGGCACAATTATCATTTTCATCCGTCAACATAGGAGCTGCCTTGTCTGCAGCTGCTCCCGAAGATGTTGGCACTGCAGGAGCTTCGTTCTGTTGCTGCTGCTGCTGCTCCCCCTCCTGATCCTCGCCAAAAGTTGCCAGTGGCTGGCCCAGAACTATGGAGGCACTGCGGCAGACATGCTTCACCCGTGGACCCTTCAGATCGATCCTTTGCCTCTTGAGTGTGTCCCCTCCTGCTGCTTCTTCTGTTTGGCCTGCAGTTCCAGTGGCCTCCTGTTCTGGCTGCTGCTGCTGTTCTTCCCTTTGAGCGGCTTCTGGTGCAGGCGTTTCCTCGCTCTCCAAGTCCCTGGCCTTCTCCTTTTCCTTCTCCTGTTTGCTTGACTTTCGCGTGGCCTTTGCCTCTGGATTGGGACTTGTTGCAGGCTTATCCGCATCTGTGGAGGTCACCTTTTGATCCGTCGCATTGTTAATCTTCAGGAACAAAGGCTTCTCGAGAATGGCGGGTCGCAGGAGTGGCATGCTGCCAAAGGTCACATTGTTCTCCGCCAAAGGATTCGACTTGATCGACGTCATCGCAGACACTGGCGCAGATGTGGTATCTGCATTTGATTTCCACTTGACAGAGGATGTTGCCGTCGCCGTCGCAGATGAGCTGGAGCTGGAGGATCCGCTGCTGCCAGTGGAACTGCTGGGTGTGAAGCGCAAACTTGCTACACCTCCTCCTACTCCCGTGGGGGATAGCAATTCCGTTGCAGATTTCTCCTCCCTGGGCGCCATATTCGCTGGCAGAATGGCGGCCAATCGACTCCTGTGCGCCGCCGGCAGCTGGAACGACACTAGGCACTTCTTCAGCCAGCAGGCGGGGCATCGTTCCTTGTAGAGCTTCTTAAAGTTCTTCAGCAAGCTGCTCTTCGGCGAATGTATGCTGCAGGCGGTTCCTATTGGGTTGATCAAATGGGGATAAGTTGGGTTTATCCTATCCTAGAGACCTCCAGGACCACTTACCATCTGTTCCCTTGCACTGCAGCTGCGTGGAGGCACTAGCCGAAGTGGAGGATGCACTGGAGCTCGCGTTGGCCGATATGGATTTCTTGGTCATCTTTGAGATGAATTTGCGGCACACATCGCAGGCGACAATCCCGTATTTGCGCTCCTGTGCCACCTCCTTGCTGCTGACAGCTGTGCAGCACACAGCGCAGGTCGTTGGAGCGCCTAGCGGGAGGATACAAAGGATTAGTAAGGATCTAGAAATAGAGTTTTTGTTGCTGCCTCACCTGTCGATGCGAGTGTGCCAAAGGACAGTCCTCCTGTTGGCGAAATGGCACTGTGCGGGGATGTGGCACCAAAGGCTGCTGTCGGTTTTGTGTCCATCTGGAACTGAAGACGCGGCTGGCGGAGCACAAAGCTGCTGCTGGCTCCGCTACTACCTCCGCTGCTGCTGCTATTGAGCTTCAGGCCCCCAAAGCTGGGAAATGTCTCCTTCCTAGAGGCGGACAAAGAGGTTTCTGCATCCAGGCCAAAGTAATTCTTGGGCTTGGCTTTGGGCGTGGCATTCCTGCTGATGGCACCCTCCTCGAGCAGCCGCTTGTTGGGCTTGATGATTCTCGAGGAGCGGGTGCTGCGCTTGGGCAGGACAAAGTGTGAATCCAGCACAAGTTGCTTCTCCTCGGATGAGGAGGAAGAGGAGGAGGTGCCATCCTTTTCGGGCATCTCCTCGCTGGCACTCTTCTCCTCCGAGGCAGCCTCATCGTTGTCCTGCTCCTGCCCATCATCCTCGTCCAGCTGCTCGTCGGCATCATCGCTTGCCTCATCGTCATCCATGTCCTCATCCTCAGACTCATTCCGCCGAAATGTGACGCCGCCCGACTCGCCCTCATCCTCCTCCATGGGCGCCCCAAAGGCACGCGACAAACCAAATACATTTGTGCTGGAGGAGCCTCCTCCTACTGCAGACTCCTGGCCTGCTGGCGGGGCCGATCGAAACTTGAGGGAATTCAGTTTGTCAATGTTCGAGTTCCCATTGAGTATCTTGGAGAGAATGGAGGGACGCACGATGCACTCGCCGCTGCGGGAGTAGGCCATGGTGCGGTTCAGTGAATCCTTCTTCATTATCGAGACGAGGGGCGTGCGATTATCCGGATTGTAGAATCGCTTTACCACCGATTTGTCATCGCTCGTCTCGAGGACATTTCTGAATGTCACCGTTTTCTTTTGTTTGATGGGAGGTGCAGGAGCTGTCGCTGTCGCTGTGGCTGCAGCTGTGTTTGATTTCGGACTGCCTGCAGATCCTGCTGTCGCTGCTGCTCCATTTCCAGCTGCTGTTGCAGCAGCAGTGGCCGCCTCTGTGGCTGGGCCTCCTTCGGTGGGCATTTCGCTCAACCTGCGCTTCTGCAAGAGTGCGGAGACACGTTAAAGGGTGTTCAGAAATAAAGTGCAAGGGGGGGGTAAGCGAGGGGTTTCCTTCTGCCACAAATCAATAATTCATGCACTAACTACGGAGCAGGCAAAGGGGGTAAAAGGGCGGATGGCATAGCTACAGATAGGATAGGAATAGGGGGAATAAGGCAAACTGGCAAATGAAACTGAAAATGAAACAAGCGGAAAGGCAGCAGGCGAACTCCGGCTACGGTTTAAGTCTAAAAACAAGTTACTAAGTATGTGCCACCGAATGGGGTACAGACACACACCAGACATGGACACGACGCCGCACATGTGGCAGTTGCAAAGAGCGCTAAAACGTCATAAAAGCCAATTAAGCAGGTAAGCAGCAAGCAAGCGGGAGAAACATGGGAAAAGGGAGTAGACTGGGCGAGAGGGGTTTTACCCTCTTCTTTATTTACATTCTGCGAGGGGTTGGCAGCACACGCAATCCCCAGTCCAGCAAAATCTCTGACTATCAGTGGGATTGAGGGGGGGAAAGCAGGTATAAGGGGTTGGGGAAGTAGCAGTGGAAAAGCGGCTTAAACTTATTCATAAATAAAGCGAAACACAGAGGTAGAGAGCATCCAGCCACCACATCACACAGACCAACAAACGAGACTTACCAATGCAACATCTTCGACCGATTCCACCACAGACCTGGCGTTCCCAACTCCTCCTCCTCCTACGTCTCCTACTGCTGCTGCTGCTGCTGCTGCCCCTCCACTAGGTGAGACGCCACCAGGTGGCAATGTCGCTGGGGGAGACGCTGCCACAGCAGAGGAAGGTGAGCAGGAGGAGGCGACGGGCACAGAGCTGGCAGAGGCTAAGGCAGAGGCGGAGGCGGAGGCGGATACAGCGGATGCATCGGGGCAATTAAGTTGCAATTGTTGTTGCTGCTGCTGCTTCAGTTTCGATGTTGAGGGCAGCATCACCTCGCCTCGGGCCAGATTCAAGTTCTTAAACTTTTTGTTTCCCCCCTTTCGGGCACGCTGCAGCAATGCACTGCTGACCACAAAGGGACCGGCAACAGTGGGGCCTGCTGGCGTCCTCTTTTCGCCATTGTGACTGCCACTGGTACTGGCACTGTCATCGTCCTCATCCTCCTCGTCCTGGAGATCTTCAGCGTGCTCTGTGCTTGCACTCTTGTGATGTGTCCCTGCACCGCCGCTGCCATTGACACCGCTGCCATTGGTGGTTCCTCCTGTCGAACCATTGCTGCCACCGCCACTGTTACTGCTTGTGGCTCCAGTACTCGTGGAGGAACTGCCACCTCCGCTGCCTGCACCACTGATGGAGGCACCGCCTGGGGCATTGTCATCCTCGTCGTTATCACAATTGTTACCCTTCTCCCGTCCAGCCGCCGATCCAGCACTCTGTCCACTCTGCTGCTGTTGCGACTGCTGCTGCTGTTGCTCCGTGGCTGCTTCTGTAGCAGCAGCATCTTCCTCCAATTGCAGGACACTTATCCGCTTCCGATTGATCGACTTGGAGGGTTTTCCGGGAAACTTGGAGCGGCCCATAATAGAGTTGTTTTTCCGCTTGTTTGTTGCATTTGCCTTCGATTGTTGGGGGCTACGCTGCGGGTATCACTTGGATATCGGAGCAGGTTGGCGGCACTGTGCTTTCCTGGCTCCCACACACTGTATAAAGACAGAGAGAAACACACGGTTCACGTGAGAGACACTCAACAGAAATACCGGTATTGCAGCAGCAACAACGACGACAACAGCAACAATATGCGTTTTTGTCCCCCTCTGTAACCGAACCGCGCGTCTGTGGAATGCGTCAATTTTCCCCCCTTTCGGTACGCTACGACCGACTCGTTTATGCTCGTTCCTGTTTCGGCTCTAGCTGCACACCATCTCAATCTCCTTCTTCTTCGGTTTCTTTTTTTCTCCCCACTTGCGTCTTGGTTTTTTTATTCGCGCGCGCTCCTCGTTCCGTTCCTCGTTCCTTGCTTTGCGAATTTCGAATAAAGCCGAAGGTGACGTCAAAGCGCGACAACGCGTCAAGCCTCGGCTTTGTCTGAGCTCTCTCTCTCTCTTTTTCTCGCTCCGCTACTCTCTCTCCCTGACTCTTGCGCGCTCCTTCGACTGCACTCTCAAGAGTAGAGCGCGCTAAAGGTGCAATTGCAGCTGCCTTTGTTTCGCTCTGGCGTTTACGTTGCCGCTGGCACGTCTTGCGTGACCACCAGAAAACACAAACTCACACACACCACCAAGTACCACCTTTCCTACCACTAAATATGCGGCAGAGCAGCGCCCCTCCAAACACAACTGCCCCTGCTGCTCCTTATAGCACGCGCGACACACCGCGCTCTCTCTCTCTCTCTCTACCACAGACTCCTTTTTAAGACACTCTTGAACTCTCTCTCTCTCTTATGCTTTGCTCTGCTCTGCTCTCTCTCTCAGTCCTGTCCGTCCGTTTTGGTCGCTGTCGCTCTGTCCCGTGGACGTTTCATCGACGTTTTAAGTGGTTTTTCTACTTCAGACTTGAACTTTTTCTCTGCCAGGATTTTCTCGTTTTGCATTGTTGTTGCTGTTGCTATTGCTGCTGCTGCTTTTGTTTCTCTTTTCTATTTTTTTTTTTGCTGGAAATTGAAATTCTTACAGTTGTTGTTGCTGGGTGATGTTGTTGTTGTGGGCCACTATTAAGTGGTGGGTTTTTCCTTTATGACTGCCTTTTTACGACAGTTTTTTTTTGCTGCTGTTGCTCTGTCTCTATCTCTCTCTCTCGCTAGCTCTTTTTGGCCTTTAAGGCTGGGTGACAGGAGAAGGAGAGTGAGAGAAAATTCTTCTTTTTGCGCGTTTAGTTTTTCTGCGTTCTCCGTTTTTGCTCTTCTTCGTAGTATTTACAATTTTCCACATTGCTGTGTTGCTGTACTTTCCGCGAAAAACTTCGCCTTAACTTCTCTGCTGCTGTTGTTGCTAGCGCTGGCTGTAGCTGTTGCTGTGGCAGAAGCCCGCGTTCTGGGTCTGCCCCTGCGGCCTCATCATGCTCATTATCACCATCATTCCGTCATCATCATTATCGGGATCGGATCATCATCAGCTCTGGTCTACTACATCATTGCCATTCCTTCACAAAAACTATACCAACAAACGAACTCACACACACTGGCGCAAACAAGTTTGTGTCTCTGCTATTTGGCAGAGTTTTCTTCAATCTGCAAAAATGATTGAGAGTGGGTTGGGGTTGGGGTTCGGGTTGGGGTTTCGGGTTGAGGTTTGGAGGTATGTGTGGTTTGAGGGGGTTGGTACGTGTTGGGGAGAGAGAGAAAACAAAGTAGAAATTTATTAGTTCGCTTCGTCGCAGTTGGGCAAACACACAGAAGTTGAAAGTTGACTTTTAATGGAGAGTGTGAGATTGGAGAGTGTGGTGTGGTGTGGTGGTGTGTGCGTGGGAGAGTGTGAATGGGTGGGTGTGCAATGATTATGTGTGCATGGATGTGTTTGTGGGTGTTCGTGTGAGTAGATTGCAAGGAGCTCAAATGCTGCCTGACTACTGACTACTGCTCCATGGCTGCCCTCCCCCTCATTCTCCGCCCATAACCACCTATGAGCATGAGTCAGTGTGGTAATTGTTTTCCGTTGTGATACACTAACCAAATTGTAGCCCATTAGTTTTATGAGTTGCACAAAGAAAGGGAAGGAAGACTTGGCGACCATATAAAAAACTGTGATCAGAACCAATTTAAGATTTCTGAATATTTTTTTCTGCACAACGATATAAAATAGAGGTGCAAGGATCGGAGTACTACATACTGTATTTTATATAGTGGTAACAGGAATGATCGAATGCTTTGAATGAGAACAAATCCGACTTGGAACGTAAACCTACTATTCTGAAGAAAATTGTGATGATATTTGACAATTTTTTAATTGAAATAGCCCAGGCTCAGATTTTCATTGAAACCTCACAAAACTCGTATGATTCACTCCCACTGGAACCTTCCACTCTTAACGGATATCTGGAGTTCACATTTACTTTTTAAGGGTATCAATTGTTTCGTCATTCACAAGGCACATTTATTGCTTGTTATATTTTTTTTTTTGTGTTTTATGTGTTTTTACTCCTGTTTCGAGCCAAAGGTGTTTCTTGTCAGTGGTTGATTTAGTTTTAGTTTGGTTTAGTTTTTTTTGGTTTTGGATGTGTTTGCTTGGCTTGTTAGTTAGTCAATCTTGTCAACTGTACTCCGCAGTCGGCAGGGGAGTCGGCAGCAAGTCAATTTAGTTACATTTTGTATCTGTATGCATGACTGAACTGAACATAGTGGGCTGTAGTCCCCCCGCTGACTGAACCGGGACAAACAGGTCAGCGTGTGCATGTGTGCACCACCCACTGTACGTGAGTCGATGTCTCTGGCTCTGGCTCTGGCTCTGTCGCTGTCTCCGGTTATGTGTCTGTTTGCGATTTGTGATTTCATTTGTCGATGTTCCTCTATTTTTTATTTAATTTCCTTTTAGTTGTTGCTTTTGACGGGCTGTGTAGTGTCTTTATGGTCCGAACAGTTGAACGTTTGGCATGATGTAAGCCCCGGGGCTAAGCTTAATTGGATAGCACTCCTCGATGTATATTGGCATAGCGATTACACTAATTGCCGTTGCCGGAGTTGGCTCGAATGTGTGCGCACGGATTGAATTGGTTATTGAATATGCATACGAGTGGTATATGAATAATTTGCATATTCAATCGATAATCATTTGATTCGCATTGATGATTGAAGTGTTGATTGTAAAAATATAAACACTTGATTCTAAAGACTCTAATAGACTGATGCAAATGATGCAGTTAATTATGGCCTTTGGATCAGACTTACTTATGGGTTGTGGATTTTATGAGGCCTCTAGCTTCAGTACACTCCGATTCAAAAGTATGTATATGACAGTTCGCATGTCCAATAGGATGACAAAGCAGAACCGAGGGACTCTTGAATTGTTTTCATTCAAATTTCTGATCGAAAAAGATGTATCTTTCCTTTTAATTATTCACCTTATTCACAGACTGCCTCAGCTGCCTTACCAAAACGAAACGTACTGTCTATTTAAATGTCTATTCAACAATAAGCAATAAATAATTAGATATTTTGCAACGACAACAGTATAACTGCAATATTAGTATCTATTTAATGGCGACACACAAAAGCCCAACAAAAGCTCAAGCACAAAGCAAATAACATGACATAACAAACTAAAGGTTAATTCTCTCAAGCTCAAAACAATTGTCAACAATTTAATACACATTCACGGGGGGGCAGGCAGTCAGGCAGGCACTAAATAGTTGAATATACCGACCAAAAGATTGCCCATCGTTCAACTGCGATGAATATTTTGGTTGATATTTTGGTGTCAATATTTGAAAAGTCCTTTCGGTACACATAGAAAATGTGATTGATCTCCTCTATATCCAGGTGTGCATGATTTGTATGCCTGTTACATACAATATTATGAGTACAATATACCCTATTGTTCTCAAAGATTACCAGGTATAAACACTCGCCAACAAATTGCACACAAATTGGGCCTGAGAAACACAAACACACACACAGAGGCACACACGCACACAAAGACACAGTGGCAGACACAAAGCAGTGGCAAGAAACAGAATGCTTAGCACGCTGTGTGTTGACATCAATTAACTAAATCGCTTTAATTATAGTATGCTACCCAGTAGCAGTCCCAGCGCCAGATCAAACCAAGGCAAACCCCACCCAGGAGAGATGGATTGCAGGAGAGAGAGAAAGAGACAGCTCGCCCAGCCGCAAATAATCTGAACAAATCAATAAAAGGCCGCACAAAAATGACAAAACGCAAGCAGGTCCCAAACAAGAGAGGCGCAAAAAAAAAAGAGTGAATTTTGATGGGAGAATGCAATTTGAATGACACGACAGCCTATGCCTGTGTGACACTCACCTTTTTTAGATGCAACTGTTTGACACTGACTAGAGGAGTTGGATGTGGACTGACAAGTTTATGCAAAACGTTGCGAATTTGATCACATTATAGAAGTACAATTGAAATATTAACTTATTCAACTGAAATAAATGTTTTGATTTTAATCCTGTTTGTAAACAAAAATCGGTAGCATAATCTCCTTAGCTGAAGAATAATCTGGAAAGTTGTAGAAGCAGTCATTTAGACAACGATTGCTCTCCCTCTAATCAGGCTGATTATCTCAAAATGCTTTTATGGCTTTACACTCTTTTAATGAATTAATCCAATTGTGAGTGTCATACGGTCGCAAGCTATTCACGCGAGAGCTGTGACGGTGGCGGGGAGTAGAAGAGGTGGAGGATGACAAGCAACAATCTCCAACGGCGAGCCCCAGAGAGCTGGCCAATTCGAACGACATCGACAGCGACATCGAACCGGCCCGAACAGACGAGCAGCGGCAGTAGACAGAGCAGACAGCCGAGCAAACACGACGAGGCCGCAAACACACACACATATACAAACAAAGCCCCTCAGAGAGGCAGTGAGAGAGACCCACTCACACACCTTTAATTTAATTGCCATCAATTATGGTAAAAAGATTAAGAAATCAAAACAAGCGCAAAAATGTACAAAAACATGAATAAGAAGAATGGCAAAAGCAAAATGAAACGGAATACACTCAGGCACACAAGCAAGCAAGCGGGGATGGGGACTGGCAGACAGACAGGGACAGGCATACCATACCCCCGACTCTTGCCCCTCATGACCAACACCCCACCTAAGAGGCGCGCTCATACAACTTGCAAATTGCGAGTAATTGAGAAGATTAAAGTCAAGCAGCATGCCAGAGGAGAGCAAAGACAGACAGCAGGGCAGCACAAGAAACCAGAGGGAGACAGCTGGAGGCAGAGAGCAGACCAGGTAACGACGATTGAAAACCGAATCGACTGCCGAACGATTAAGAGCCATAAACACGAGCACGACAATCACAGATACAGCAGCAGCGCCAACAACACCCCCTCCCACTCACATACACAGCACAGGCACCCAATAGACAACTATCTGCATACACTCGCACACTCATAACAAACACGACTGACAAGTTGAGCAGCAAAGAAAAAAAATCGAAGTCTGCCACAAACGAGAGCGCTTCAGAGCTACATAAAATATGTAAATTTGTATGAAATTATGCAAAAATGCCTTAAATACGTGTGCAACAATAAGAGACAGGATAAGAGAGCAAGAGAGAAAGACAATGGCCAGAAGCTGAAGAAGAAGAGAAAGACGGGCACAAAACAAGCAACAATGAGCTTGGCGCTCACCTCAAAAAGAGATGGAAAGAAAGAGAGCAGCAACCTGAAGAGAGCCGAACCACAACAGACAATTAGAGGGGGGAAATGAATGAGAGAGCATGCGGGGGTGTGTGCGCTCACTCGCTCGTGTTTCTGCTTGTGTGTATGTGTAAGTCAAAACACGCAGCAAAAGGTGAAACATGAAAAATGTGCGCGCCAATAAAATGCAAAAGGTGTGAGAGAGCATTGGTGCTGGTATTGCTGCGGGCCATTAAAATAGAGTATCTCTCTGGGCCATTAATGGGCGGCATTAAGAGTTGAGCGTGAAACGCAGTTTGATGATGATGATGAGATGTCCAATTTGCCACGAAACACGAAACAGCAGCCGAACTAAATATATGGGAATGTGTGTGTGAGTATTGGGACATCTGTTTCTCCTTGGTATTGGTGGTGATGTGTGGTGGTGGTGGTGGGTAAGGTAACCCAGTTGGCCGCTGCACAGCTTCCCTCCCTCTCCACATTCAGCAACAAGAACTAACGAAAATTAATATTTTGGCGAGGGGTGTTCAAAGAGTAAGTGCTGCTGCAGCGTGGATCAGTGGAGCGTAAAATGGGCACCGGAATCAGAATTACATTAGACTCTTCCGCCCACTGGCCTGCTGTTCCTTCGGACTCCCCCTGATTTATTGATTCTTTGAGAGGCAAGGCACAGTTTTTTATATGCGCAATTACTCATTTTACGCCTCGAATGTTATTTGGCGCGTAGTTTCTCACGAACTTAAATTCACAAACAAACACACAGACACACTCTCTCACAAGATTTGGAATTTGCCTTTTCGATAGCAACAAAAATGGCGTCAACACCAGATATACATATGTATATGTACATAAATACACATTTATTTAGTAATTATTCAACAACAACAAAAACAACGAGCAGCAGCCATCGATCGTTTTAGCGGTCTGCCGCTGTGATCGTTTCTCATTTTATTGTATAATTTATTAAAAACTTCAGCGACAGCGGCAGCAGCAGCAACAGCGGCAGCAGCAGCAACAGCGGCGGCAGATCAATTTTTAGTTATACAAACACTTGGCCCTGGTGTGCGTAAGCGAGAGGGAGATGGACAATTAGAGGACAGTGGGAGAGTGAAGAGAGCTGCAGAATTCAAGATTTCAAGTACCTCCTAAACGATAAAGGAGCACAAGTGCAATTTGGGATGCATGCGTTTGGCAGTAAATAAGAGGTCCAGATCACGACATTAATTTGATCAAATATGAGCATAATGTAGCCGAATAATAACAGATCTGCTTAATGAACATTCTTATTACGTTAAACGATCAAGTCTACAATTACTCTTCCTGCAGCAATCGTGTCTGCTGTCTCGTTTCGCCAGTACTTTAATTGAAACGACCACAAAAACAATTAGCTTGGTCACATTAACTGTTATTTATGGCATGCTGTCTTGCGGGTGGGCTTGGGCGTGTGCGAGAGGGAGTGGGTGCGACTAACGTGTACCATAGAAACTCTGATTTGGTCATAAAGTAACTGTATTTGTTGTACGAGTGGGAAGGCTGGTGCTCAATTTGCATTTCACCTTTGCATTCCAGCGGTAAATCAACAATCTAAAATCTACTCACTAAAAGGTGTACGTACGGGTGTTAGTAAATATGTATGAATAATGGATAATGTATATGGATATGGAGGATGGAAATGTGTGTGTTAGAAGTCAAATCAATATCAACGTGCACAATACAGGGACCGACACTGACTCATCCGCCAAGTCCAGGCGCATCGCTCGGATCTCTTTTAATTACCTTTTGATCAGAACAGGCAGAGGGGCTGCATTTAATATATATCCTATATCCAATTTAGGCCGATTTTATACACCCTTTTTCGGTGTGCCAAACATGCACGAAACAATCACAGAACACACAAAGAGTTTGACAGGGGACAGAGACGATAGGGGGACGACGAACGGCGATTTTTCGTTTTTATTTTCGTTCACTTATTTCTTGGTTTTTGCTTTGGCTTTCACATTCGCCGCGCGCCTCTCTCACAAAACAACACCAGAACACACGAACATTTACAAATACCGACTACTACTATTGCTCTCGTTCACGCTCTTGCTCTCTTTCGCGCCCGCGCGTTTCGCATATACACACACAGCTATAGATTTATGGCTGTGTGCGTGCATGTGTCTGCATGTATGTATTTTTACGACGATGAAAAATGCCTGCTTCTTCTTTACACAAATCAGGTTTGCAGCACCATTTGGATTTTCACACTTTCTGGCATTTGCGCTTTGGAAATTCAATTATATTTCACCATCAGACACTGCCTGCAGCACTCATACACACATTTCACATTAGTTTTACAATTATTATGGATATTTTCAGCATTTTTAACGAGCGAAAACGGGAACAGAAGACGACCGAGAGAGCGAACAAAGTTTTTTCTCTCTCTCTACATAGGGATGTTACATTACTGATATACAACGAGTTGACTTCGATATGTCTGTGCGATAAGCGGAATTTAGGCCAGCGACTACATGACAACAAAATGTATCCCTGGTAATAAAGTTGCTTGACTATGAAAACTGAAATAATGCATTTATTTATAGAAACCATGTTTATTCTTGTAAAATATTTCATCACTGCCAGAAAGAAAGAATATATTATCGGTATATTTGTGCGATAAATGAAATTATCGATAGAAAGCATGCAGTGAGTACTTCGCAACGAACACGTTAGATGGCGCCTTAGTTCCTTATTCAAATTTCTGTTACAAACCCAATTAGAATGATTTATGTTTGCTTTCTTGTATAATTCAAGTTATTTTAGGAGTTCCTCTTTTTGAGATGGTGTCATGGCGTCAAGTTTCAAACGAACATCTTCATGAGCCGTCGCCTTTACGTGCGCCATGCGTTCTTCATACTTAGGTATCATTTCCACAAACGTTTCGAAGGTCTTCTGTGTCGCTTTGCGGACCGAATAGCATTCGGTGAAGCAGGACATTGCGTTCTGCAGCATTCCGTGTAACTGAATCAGCATCCAGTTCCAGCCCTTAAACTGCTCGCCCGCCAGCATCTTCTCCAGAATGTTCCAATCCAGAGGCTCATCATGGAAGTCATAATTTAGATTTTGTCCAAAATGCGTCCAGATCGACGAATTGTTGAATGGCCAAGAGTCCGTACAACGACGTAGAGAATTGACCAGTGTCTGGCTGTATGTGCGCTCGATCTTCAGATCAAAAGGTTTCAGGATAGCCTTTAAGCTGAGGCGATCAAGGACTGGTTCGACTGGTTCCAATGGTTCCACTGGTTCCACTGGTTCCACTGGGAGTGGTTCGACTTTCACTCGAGTTCCGTAGTTCTTCAGGAAGTTTGTGGGTCGCTGAAGCGCTGGAAATGCTTGCGAGATAATAGCATTTCTATCGGCGTCAGCTCGGGTAAGACTTCGCGGCCCCGGAGGTCGGCCGCGACCACGACGGGCCGGTGTCACGGGCGTGAACGGTTTCGGTTGTAGATTGGGAACGGCCTCAAATGAGGGCGGTGGATCGTCTGCCTTTAGCTGGGGCTCATCCTTGTTTTCCACCTTAATCTTTATCGGCAATGGAATGGCGGCCTTCCGCGAACACCTGGTCTTGGCCTCGGCCTTGCACTCATTGTGCAATTCCCTCTGCATTTTCGCCATGCGCAGCCAAAAGACTTCGCACAGGGTGACAGCAGCTTTAAAAACGGGCGAATCCGGACTGTTGTAGGTTCGGCAGTTGTCGAAAATCAGTAGAATGTCCTCCAGGACGTCTGCTCCGCCCCAGTAGTATGTGTACTCAAATCTTTTCTTGATTGTGTTCAAGTCCATGGGGTTTGCGATTTTTTCGTGGTAGTCCCCGATCTTCAGGTTTACAGCATTGACAGGATGGCGAAAGTGCAGCGAGGAAGGGTTGCGCAACATCGCATTCACAGCGGTTTTCAGTTTCAACAGGAAATTGGTGACCCTTCCCTTACGATTGGGTGGCGGCATCACCGGGGGCTGCACAATGCCATTAACCGGCTGCACTCTGGGCTCACACCGTGGCGGCCGCTGCTCCTTTGGGCCCTGGTTGGCGAGCACGTATAAAGCTTTCGCAAAGTCTTCACGCCGCTTATCATCCATTGTCTGATAATAGAGACTTCAATTAGATGTTTGACGGGCCAAATGGCTGTGGCAATTGCCACAGTGGCAGACTGATCCAATTGCCACATTCTATCAACCGGCAAAACTCAAGTGTAGAGCGTACTTACATGTCTTTTCTTCTTGCTGGTGGTTTAGTTAAACCTTTTTTTGGAAATTGAATGGTCGCACGACGTTAAACGTTAAACCTTTTAGCCTTTTAGAAACAGACTGAAGCAAATTCAGTTCCTTTTTTTTTGACAAGCTGCTGAAAAAGTTTAGGGATGACTTTTGATACAAAAGCCAAAGCACATCGATACACGCATTGTGTGCAATCGATATTCAGTGTGGCAAAATACGGCAAATGCAAACGGGCTCTGTCGATATATCAGCTATCGATATGCGCCAAACCCAATGGAGCACGAGCTCAAATTCATGGATCGGGTAACAAGTTGTCCTAGTGAAAGCGCCCCATGTGGCTGCAAAGTTCCATTTGTGCCGGTATTCAAGCAAGCAAAAACTGATTCTCTATGCAACCATCTAAATCCACCTCGACCAATCGATCGGACACAGCTGTAACCTATTTTAGCTGCCAGTCAGACCAACCGAATTGCTTGAAGTGAGAATGCTGTTTTCCTGCTGGTTGCTTCTGTGTTGTGGCCTCGTGGTTGCTGTGGAGGAGCAGCACTATGCCACATCGACACGACACCTGGCCTTCCTGCTCCAAGTGGAGGATGAACTGCTGGCGCACTTGCGTCAGTATGCGGCAAAGCTGCAGCAAAAGGTGCATACAATGAGAGTGTAGGTTGAAGTGTTTTTGGCAATGGAATTGCTCTAACCGCAGGCACATTCTTGCAGGCTGCAGGCCGAGTGGCTGGCCAGAAGATTGGCAGCCAGAGCAGATCCTGTGAGCTATGCGGCCAATCCTTTGAGGAGTCTGCCGCTGATGCGGAGAATGCACGTGGATGCGAGAAAGTGGCTCAACTTTGCACGCCTCGAGCTTGGACAGGGTGAGACTTTACATGAGTTTAAGATGATCTTCTCCAGACGGGTGCTGAGAGTTCCCCTTCCTATTTTGCAGAGTCTCTAAAGCAACTGTCGGAGTACGAGCTGGGTGTAATCACCGCGGTGGATCTGAAGGAGGCAGCCAATGGATTGCTGCACATACAGGAGACCTACGATCTACATGAGAGAGACATGGCACGTGGAAAACTGCATCATAAGCAATACAAGTGAGCTTGTCTGCGCATCCAAGCTACACACATTCGAATCCTTTTCTTCAGTTCCAGATTGAGCGCCGCAGATTGTCTGACTTTGGGCGCACATCTGGAAGATCTGAAGAAGGGCCCACTGGCCTGCAGGTGGCTGGAAGTGGCCCTGGAACAGTACGAAGACAAGTGGCAGCCCATTGACTGGCTGCTGCAGACGGGACGCTCTCAGATCTGGCAGCAGCTTGGCTTGACGCGAATCATGACACGTAGGCTGTGTCCCACAACTGGCTTGAGTTAGCTAATTCCCGTCCCTAAACCTCTCTTCCCCAGATGATCTTCACGGCAGTCGTGCTGCCTTCACAAAGGCCGTGGAGCTGGCCAGCGAGGGGGAGGACGTGGCAATCGCTCAGCATCTGGCAGACAACCTGGGCCACCATTTTGTGCACCAGCGGAACTGCCAGGGCAGGAGTCGCCTGCCGGTGCAGTCCTCGCTGCGCTGCCACTATGCCGCAGAGGGTTCCGCCTATCTGCGCTTGGCTCCACTCCGCATGGAGCAACTGAGCCTGGATCCCCTTGTGGCCATCTACCATGAGGTTGTCTCTGCCGCCGAGCAGCAGGATCTGTTGAGCCTAAGTCAAACCCAGTTGCAGCGCCATCGGGGTCATCGCCACGATGCGGTACGCACATTTGCGAGTGCTGAGTTGGCTTCAAATGCCACGCTCCATGTGGAGCGACTGCATCTAAGGCTGGAGGATATTACAGGTCTCGATTTGGCGGAGAGCGAGCCGCTGAGAGTTTTAAATTATGGCATTGGGGGGCAGTACTACATCCATGAAGATTGCAAGCAGCCGCAGGTACCGTCCCAAGCATTCACTTGCTACTCGATGTTGCTTACTGAAATTCTGCTCCATTTTTTTTGTGGAAATTCCTCTTCAACAGCCTCACGTGGAGCCCTATCCCAAGGAGTACCGCCTGGCCACCGTTTTGCTCTACGTTAGTCCATTGCTTTGCGATCCATTTGTGTTTAAACTTCCATTTGCTCTCCCTTTTTATCCACAGCTCAGTGACGTGCGCCTAGGCGGCTACACATCCTTTCCCGCTCTGGGCCTGGGCATCAGGCCTCAACGTGGCTCCGCTCTGGTCTGGCACAATGCAAATAATGCGGGAAACTGTGACTTCAAAGCGCTCCACGCTGCCTGTCCCGTGCTGCTGGGCACACGATGGGGTAAGCGTTTGAAAGACTCAACTCTTAAAGGGAACTCCACTCCATTTTCAACCCAAAAACAGTTGCCAGCAAGTGGATCAGTGGGTCAGGCGACCAGTGGCGCCGGAAACCCTGTCGCAAGTGAGGAGGAAAACACAAGCACAATTCCATTCAGCAGCATCCGTTTTTTGTTTGTTGTTTATTTTTTTTTTTTTGCGATAATTTATTCAATAATTTTTGTCGTTATTTATATTATGATAATAAATTTTATGCACTATTTTATAGTATTCATATTTAATTTATATGCAATGTAACATTATGTTTTGGGGTGTGGAATGGGACAGGGAATGGGGCAGGATCGGGGACTGGGACTGGGACTGGGCCTATCCACTTTGATATATCTGTGAAATTGAGATGGCCAGATCCAGGGAGGGTTCAGGGATTCTTGTGTGTGTTTGGTGGTAATGGTGGGAACAACGCGATTCCTGATACGTATGCAAATGATATCTGGCGCAGGACAGGCGCCCCTTTGGCAGTATATGTACGAGTATGCGGCGAGTTGGGGGGATATGCACTGAGGAGACAAGAAACGCAGAACGCAGAACGCAGAAATACAAAACGCAAATGGGAGAAACGCAAACAACAAGAATGCAGGCGATAGATGTCGATGTCGATGTTGTAGTCGATGTCGATGTCCGAGGGAATCGTGTAGGAATACTTGATTGCCGGCTCCTTCTTCTAGTTTTGATATCACGCTCCCCCAGGCCTCTGTCGCAGTCGCAGTCGCAACATCAGAAACAACAGCATAGACAGCAGCTGCCACGTTGTGTGCCGCCTAGTGGCCACATTCCGTGCCGCATCCTCGAGACCTAAGTGCAAAGGGAAAGAGACACAGAGACACAGAGACACAGAGACACAGAGATACAGATACGCTTAAGAGATTCCCACTCGTTTGTTCTCTTACCTCCGATGTAATTGAGATGGTCATCGTTGCTGGCTGCCGCACCAGGATGTAGCTTGATTTCTGCAATTTACAAAACATACCCGCAAAAAGGGACACACACACACACACACATGACCACAAATGAGTAAAGGGAGCGGGACTCTGCAGAGAGATTGCTTATACGCACCGTATAACCGCAGCGTACCCTCGGCACGGCCCAGCGAGTTTGTGCTGACGCAGTGATAGGTGCCCACATCGGAGGGCGAAAAGGAACGCACCACCAGCAGCATGACCCCGCGATAGCCATCGCGACGCTCCGTTATCCCATACTTGGGCCTGCACAATGGGGAGAATGGAGGGAATGGGAAACGAAATGGAATGTGAATTTCAGTTGCGAGCGCGGCCATAAATGTTGGCCTTACCCATCGAGCAGCATTTCGGGCCCCGGCGAACCAGACTCCAGACTCGCTGTGGAGACGCTGGCGAACCCGTTCGAGGTACGCGCCCCCTTCAGCCAGTAGGAGACGGGCGAGGGTGAGGCTTCCACCTGGCATTCCAGCTGCACATCGGAGCCCAGCGGCGTGCCAAGCAGTTGGCTGGGGGCACGCACCATGGGCGCAACTGTAGAGTGAAGGAAAATTATATGAAATTAAATTAATTAAAGTTTTTAGTTGGTTTTCAATTGAATTTTGTTCTGCTATCGATTACTTACACTGCACACTGAGTGAAACGCGTTTGCTGACTGCCGGTGGCACATCATTGGAGGCAATGCACAGATAAGCGCCCATCTGGCGTCGCTCCAGGCGCAGCAATCTCAACGAAGAGCCATTGTACGACTCCACTGTGTAGGATTGAGCAAAGTTTCATGAAAATATCAATTCAAAGATGGCCGGGTACGCACCTTTCATCAGCTCGCGACTGCCTGGCTTGCGTATGAGTATCATTTCGCCATCCTCGCGTCGCCAGATGACGCGGGGCAGCGGATTGCCCGTGGCCTTGCAGGTGAGCGTCGCATCTTCACCCTCCTGCACGGCCATATCCGCAGAGGAGTCCTCATTGATGATGTCGGGTGGGACTGCAGGAGAGAAGGATGCATTAATACACATGTGCATACATCGACTCGTGTGAGAGATTTACCTTGCACATCGATGCAGCCAACTTGCTTCTTCATGGGACTCGTGTTGATCTGGCACATGTAGCAGCCGCGATCGCTCTCACGCAGCTTGCTGATCTTTAGTTTCCATCTGACAAAGGCAAGAAGTCATAGGTTAAACCATCTTAATAGAAATTAAAGATCTTCCTCCGCCACTTACGTGTGCATATCTTGATGCATCACACTGATTCGCGCATTGTGTGTAACCACGCGTCCTTGCAGCGCCAATACAGTTTGATCGGAGGCTCTAAGCCAGCCCACCTGTGGAGAGTATAACATAAGTGATCCTAAAAGTCTTTGAAGATCCTCACCAAGCTCACCTTATTCTTGCCCAAATTTCGCACGGAACAGGCGAGTATGGCCTCGCGTCCAGCCGGATATGTTACATTATTGATGAAGCCAATGAACTCGGGATCGGGATCCAATTGGGAATTGCTTTCTGTGGTATGTACAGAATGATAACTGATTAAAATAACTAGCGCTGGCTTGCCTTATTTATGTTCTCTAAGCTCTGGCATGGTCTCTGCACCCCAACCATTACAAAAAATCTTTTTTTTTGTTGTGCCACTTACCGTGATGCTGATTCTGTGCGAGGGCATTGCCGCATTTTGTGGCCATTATCAAAATGACAAACAGCGTCGGCGATAGCAGTTGCTTCTCCATATTGTTGTTGTTGTTGTTGTTGTTGTTGCTTCTTGTTTTTGTCGTTGTGGTTCCCACAGCTGCAGCAGCTGCTGCTTCCAATTTTCTCTGACTATTTCTCCCACTCTCCCACTCTCTGTCTCTCCGGCTCTTTTGTTTTTGTGTGTTTGTTTATGGGTATTTTAGTTGTTTTTTTGCCTGTTTGTTGTTTGGGGTCTCGTGGCAATTTCTATTTCTATTTCTATTTGCATTTGAATGCGAATTTTCTATTTTCAATTGCAAAGCCTCGATTGCGATTTCTATTTACCGCGTGTTTGTGCCAATTGGACTTTGATTTCCAGCTGCCTGCACCACATCCATAGTGCTGGGTGTGCCACCCGCTGACGCTGCCCCTGCCACAGCCACTGACATCTGCAAGTAAACAGAATGCGAGCAAAACATCAAAATCAAAATCGGAATGAAAATCGCAAAGGGGCGTAGAAGGGTAGAAGGGTAGAGGGGAAAGGGATTGGGATTGGGAATCGGAATCATCGGCTTAAATTTATTTCCACGATAAAGTGAAGGCGAAAAACAGGAATCGAGCACAAAAGCCTCTGTTCAATGTTGAGTGCACCAAACAGTGGATGGGTTGATGGGGTGGGGGCGTGGACACGCCCATCGCTAACTTGATTATCAAGCGTTGCAACCAATTTCACGTTTTTACGTTGCCTGCTTTTAGGAGCAGCGCATCCAATATGGCTGCCGGGTAAGCTCAATCTCTCTCTCTCTCTCTCTCTCTCACTCTCCCTCTTTCTTTTCGCTTTTCTGGCTGCTTTCTACCGCCTCAGCCTCGACACAAAGTAAAAGGCAAATGCAATTTTCAACACAAACAAAAATTTATGACTCGACAGCATCCTTGGTCCGTCCATCCAGGCCAGGGCCCCCGTTTCACGGAAGTTGCAATAAAAGAAAATCCTCGTACCCGTCTTCGCCCCCTTCCTCCCCCAGCAGTGGTACACGGAAAAGTGGTTAAAAGAGGGCGGCAGAGGTGCAAAATATGAATGTAAATATTAAAAAAGTTCCAAGGCGCAGAAACTAACGAGGTGTTCGCTCATTTGTAGCACGGCTAACCCCTCCCCCCCGATGCCACCACAAAACTCTGATCCCATCCTCAGCCTCCCGTAACCCCTTCTGGTACATCCTGCCACATTTCGACGCGCTGTAATTTAATTTCAGTGTGAAATTGAGCGCTCTCCTAATAGTAAATTTGCACTAAACCAGTTAGCAAGTCTTCTTCCACGCTCCTCCCTCGCTGTCTTGCAAAACTTTTGACGAGGTGTCAATGCGATGCCCCGAGCACGGAGGCGCCACGCCACGGAGGAGCTTCGATGCGGAGCAGATTGTCTGGAGGAGCTGGTGGCGCTGTAGTTGGTGACATTCAAAAGGCGGAAATGTGATTTACTTATTAAATTAGAGTTGCAGAATGCACCAAGGGCTGGGCGGACGGGGTTTAGCTGCGACGCGGTGTTGCACTTAAACTTGCAGATGGAACGAACAACTTGCCGGCGGGCCAACAGCTCCTCCTTGGACTCGATGGCTTGTAAGGGGCTGCGGGCGGGGGTATGCCTGTGTGTGTATGTAGGTGTGTCATCATTCTTCGGATCCACTAAGTGGATTAGCTTATGGCTATTCAATGTAGTTGTTTTTTCACCGATCTAAATCGATTACGGAGCCACAAACGGCACGCATATTGAGCGTACTTGAAGGACAGGATTTCGGGGGTTGTCTCATATATTTTCAGCTATATTTTTGATGTAAAGTAAGGGCAGTAAAATCACAAGTTAGTGGCATAAGACTCAGCTGCTTGGGGCAGCTGTTTGTTTACTGTTTTCTAGCGTTTTATAGCAAAATGCCCTAAGCAAAAGAAAAAAAAAACATTCATAACGGAAAGTACCACTGAAGTTCGCCACTTAGCACAAAAGTTTCGTCCAGAAACGACAAGCAACAAGCTGCAAGCTCAGAGTTATCCTCAAAGGAAGTGCCAGCGGAAGAGAGGAGCTTAAAGAGGCGGCAGGCAGATGCCTTTAGAACATTCCTTTTCCCAGCACAGTGCAGAATTTGGAGATAATTATTTGGTGGGGATCGTAAGCACATTGGCTAGTACTGAGATCCACCAAAACGAAGACAAAAAGATGACCAAATTAAAGACCAAAACGAAGACTAAAAGAAGGCTAAATCAAATACTTAAACGAAGACAAAATGAACGCAAAACGAAGATAAAAACGAAGACTTAAACGAACACCAAAACGAACCAAAAACGCAGACAAAACGAAGAGAGGACTCACAGTCAGTCAAACCGAAGAGCAAACGTTGCCTCATGGGCTGGAAAATAAGTGAACAAAAAAAGGAAAAGAACAAGTGATAATCTCATTATGCTGTATCCTGTGGACACTCTCTCTTGGAAAATGCGCTTTTGCCTGTTGTTGCCTGTCACAAGCTTCAGTCGTCATTCGCTTTTCCTCAAGGACAACAGGATTACTCATTCTTGACTTATTCTTGACTTCTTTTTAACGTCTTCCTTGCTGCCATTTCGTCTGTTGATGTTTCTGTGTTTTTATTTTATGAATTTTCATAGCAATTTCACCAGACAAGGCTTGCCACGGCTGCAATTTTTGTTGCAACAGCCAATTGCTGTCTTTTAAACGGAGATTATTTTCCAATTGAATGACTTCTTTCAGTGCTGCTGCGCCAATAAAGGGGATCATCTGATGAGATAAGAGTCTATGCCGAAGTGGGTGCAGTTCATTTTCATTCGTTAGCTGAAGGGATTCCCCCTGACGCAGCCTCCCCCTTGGCAGGGCAGACAACATTTGCATTAGCACTCAAAAGACGGAATATTTAAGAGCGTCCCACAGTGCGAAAATAAATAAATTTGCTGTGTAAACAGAAGCGAACGCAAAAGCGAGAGCAAAGCAAAGGCAGAGCAAACAAGAGCAAAAAAACATAAAAAGTAAAACAAACTTCAAAAAACATGACAAAAAGCTGCGCCCATCAAATGAAAAGAAGAAACTGCAAATCAGCGCAGTTGCACCCAAAGGTAAACTTTAGAGAGAGTAGAGGGGAGCAGGGAAGAAAGAGAAAACCCGACAAGTGGCAGAGCGGCAGGCGGGTCGTGGCGCAAGTGAAAGGAGCAAAAGGCGACAGCAAAGCGAACTAACACAGCGGAAAAGCCTTTTGAAGTTCAGTACTAGGAGCAGCAGCGGGCAGCAGGCAGCAGCAGCAGCCAGCAGCCAGCAGCGAGCAGGAGCGTCAGCACAAAGCACAAAAACAAGAGAAAACGCTATAGTCGAGTGGCTCGACAATAAGATACCCGGTACTCAGCGTCTGCCATTATATCCACAAATGGCGGTTGAGACTCTACAATTTTCAGAGTGCCTTTGGGCCTTTGGCTTTTGCTCAATTTCAGGGCAGGAACATTGAGGCGGGAAGGATACCCGCTGCATTGCCATCCAAATTTTGGTCTGTAATTTCGACAGAAGCTATAGAGAGCGATTCGATTTTTGGCAAGTCCTTTGTGCATACAATATTCCCTGGCTAGTCCTGGGTACAACAAAAGAGCAATGATGATGACGGGGACAACGTCAGCAACGCGTCGCTGGCGGCGGACAGCAGGCGTGCTAAGCTAAACGACTGAGAATGAGGGGCACGTCATGAGGCATGAGGAATGAGGAATGCTTAACAGGGGAGTGAGAGCAGAGGCCACGGCGGCACGACAGGGGGTCAGGTCAGTCGTGCAGGCAAATGGCGAAATGTTCGGCAAAGCAATTTGACTTAAAAATGCTTAGCACTTGCATATCCTGGCAATGGCGACAGAGCCCCAGTGTCCTCCAGTTCTCATCCGTCGTCGTCCGTCAGCTAAATAAGGACAACAAAGGCGATGGCGATGGAGATGGCGATGGCGATGGCAACGGCAACGGCGACAAGGACAAGGCATTGCTGAAGGCAGCAAATAAGGAGAGTAGAGCCTTAAAGGATCACGAGCTGTGAGTGCGCTTAAGCTCATTTATTTAAATTAAAACAAACACTGCAGGCAGCAAGGCAGTGCAGGGTAGGACAGTGTAGCGGAGCGCGCTACACTGCAACAAAAATACGTTATTTTCGGTGTTACAATTTTCTAAAATGTTGAAATATTTATTTTGTAATTTGTTAACACAATTTTATTAGCGCTATTTTCCATATTTTACTCCATTTGTGTTGCTCTTTCTTGCGCACAGTGTAAAGTGTTGGCTATGGCAGAGTCAGAGGGCCAGAGTTGAGTGGATTGAAGTGGAGTGTGGGCGCGACTAAGCCGCCAAAGCATTGCCTCAGTGCATACATTGTGCACGGTCTCCTCTTCCGCTCGCTCTCCCTTTTTGTCTTTTCTCTTTCTGTTTGTCTGTCTGTGTGTGTGCCTTTAGGCCATATGAGTGCATCTGTGTGTGTGTGTGTGTGTGTGTGGAACTTTGGCAACATTTCCGATTGCCAGGAAGAGTGCAGAGGGGAACAACCGGGCGCAAGGGACACGCCCCGACCGGGGCGAAAGCAAAATATTTTGCGCCATTTGTCCTTTTTGCCATTTGTCCGGTGGCACAAACAGGGCAAATTGTTTGCAATAAAGCGCGTGGCACTGGAGTGGAGTCGAGACTGTGGCATAATGCAGGTGCGCCGCCAACTGCCTGCCTGCCCCAAAGGATACGTAGGGCCAACAATAAAGGCAAAGGAATAAACTTAATAATTAGCAGAATGAAAGCAAGAAAGTGGGATTAAGAAATGCCTAAAGGCGGAGCCTGTTTAATGAATTAGTTCGCAGCATTAAAGGCTTAGCCCACATGCGAGTGCTGCAATTCAAATTCGTTAAGCAATCCCTTTATAAGTGATCAGGATATCCCGCTCATCCGGTAAGCAATTATATGCGGCAGACTCTCAATTATTTCATTTCCCCCGTTTCACATCTATTATGCACTTTCAAGCCATTTATATTGGCTTCCAAACTGCAAAAGCAA